AGAGACGACTCATTGGCAACTAACAACAATAATATAACCTATTATTTTTATCATTGCACTTATGTCTGTGATCCTTCTGAAGTGTGTCAAATTCGGCAGCCAAAAGACTCAGGTGTCTGTTTGTAAGGGTGCACATGGACTCTTGTTTGCTGGGACCCCTAAAAAGATAAAATAAGCTAATCCTTCTCACCACCAAAAGGGAACAGAGCAGAGTAATGTGGTACCCTCAGTATGATACTCAGGGGATGTAGCTCACCAAGAGAAAGTTTAGTAATATTCTGGAATCCTGTGAGCTTTGCTTGTTCTTTATCCGCCTTGCATTATTTTGTAAGCTTGGTAGGTAAAGATGCAGGTTTTGTAGGGCTTGAATCTTTTATGATTTTGTTATCATTGCTGTTAGGTACCATCGAGTTGGTTCCCACTCATAGCCACCCTTTAGGGCAGAGTAGAACTGCCTTATAGGGTTTCCAAGGAGCGGCTGGTGAATTTGAACTTCTGACCCTTTGGTTAGCAGCAAAGCTCTTAACCACTACACCAACAGGGGCCTCCCTTTAAGGATAAGAGAATGAAATGACAAATACAAATTGCTGAAGTCCCTAGCAGGGCCTTCCATGGAAAGGGCCCAGGCTAATTCTTCCCATTGCCATCGAGCTAATTCCAACTCATAGCAACCCCACAGGACAGAGAACTGCCCAATCGGGTTCCCAAGGCTGTAATGCAGCCCTGGTGGTGCAGTGGTTAAGAGCTACAGCAGCTAACCAAAAGGTCGGCAGTTGGAATTCACCAGCTGTTCCTTGGAAACACTATGGGGCAGTTCTACTCCGTCCTATAGGGTCGCTATGAGTCAGAATCAACTCTATGGCAATGGGTTTGTTTTTTGTTTTTTTTTTAAATCTTTATGGAAGCAGACTGCCAGGTGCATTTGAACCGCTGACCTTTAGGTTAGCAGCCCAGTGCTTAACCACTGTGCCACCAGGGCTCCTCTGAGCTAATTTAAAAAACAAACAAACAAAAACAAAACCAAACTTGTTGCCATCAAGTCGATTCCAACTCATAGCAATCCTATAGGACAGAGTACAACTGCACCACAGGGTTTCCGAGGCTGTAATCTTTACTGGAGCAGCCAGCAACATCTTTCTCCCACTCTGTGATAATAAACCCAAACTTGTTGCCGTCTAGTCAATTCCAACTCATAGTACCGCTGGGTGGAAACTCCAGGTTTTGCTCGTGTGACTTGTTACAGCCAATAAATAAGAGGCCGAGGTGGGAGATCAGAAAATAACCTTTTATTTCACTGTACAAAGAAAGGAGCACTCGGGGCTGCTGCCTCCAAGATTGCTCACAGGTAGCTTGGGGCTGTGGGCTTTTACAGACAGCAGACAAGGAAATGCGAATTCATCATGAATATTCAGGATTGACATCCATGGAGGTGCTCAGGGCTTTGGGATGACTAGGCATTTACTTTAGACATGGGTTTGATTCTCTGGGATGCAGGAAGAGGTCGATTTTCTTTCATTAGGATGTTAAATCTCCACCCAGAGTGGGGTGAGGCCATCTATGGCCTGTTCTGTGGTTATCTTGTCAAGGACATTTTCAGAAGAAAGTGCAGCTTATCGTGCTTAGTGTAAGAGGATGAGCCAGAGCAGGTGTCTCTTAGAAGGGTTGGGCTCTGAGGCTGCCTGCCTCAACAGTCACCCTATAGGACACAGTAGAACTGCCCCATTGGACTGGGCTAATCGGGTCCTAAAATATAAGCCCAGCTCTTTTCATGGTAAGTCTGTCTCTGGGACCCCATGGGGTATCTTCCTCATCTTCATCTTTATGATGGAAATATTATAGTAGTTTTAGTTTGTTTAGATATTGGCAGGTTCTCTCACCCCCAGATCCCTTTTCTACCCCAGCACTTGTGTCACTCAGCATCTGTATTAATCTAAGTATTTCAAACTTCATTGTTTTTTAATAACAAACTTATTGAGATATAATTCACATACCATAAACTGACCCTTTTAAAGTGTAAAATCCAGTGGTTTTTGGTATATTCATAGAGTTGTGCAACCATCACCATTACCTAATTCGAGGGCATTTTTATCATCACCTCCAAAAAAAACCCTGTACCCATGAGCAGTCACTTCCCATTCCTCCTCCCTCTAGTCCCTAGCAACCACTAATCTACTTTCTGTGTCTATGCCTATTCTGCACTTTTCATATCAATGGAATCATACACTATGTGGCCTTTTGTGCTGGCTTCTTTAACTTAGCATAATGTTTTCAAGGTTTATTGATGTAGCAAATGTATCAGAACTTCGTTCTTTCTTATCCATTGTATGGATATTCCACATTTTTATTCTTTTACCAGTTATGGACATTTGAGTTGTTTCCACTTTTTGGATACTATGAATAATGCTGCTATGAACATATCTTGTACAGAAGTCCTGTTATTTTTAACTCTATTATATTTTGAGTTAGAATTAAAAAAAAAAAAAACCTGTTCAGATGCTGTAAAAATTTTGTGGGGACAGTATCTAACCTCCTCTAACTTCACAAGAGGGAAGGAAAATCAAGATCAACAGCCCAGGACTGATTCCCATGAAGAGAAGGTCAGACATGCCTCCTCTCTCTGCCATCTTTACCAGTTCTGATACCAACAGTCCCTCCCATGGCACTCTCTACTTCTCTGCTGGGTTCGATAATTCATTGCAATGGCTACACAGAACTCACAGACAATACTCACGATAATGGGGTTTATTAGGAAGTAACAGCTTATAATTTAGGTTCAGGAATGCTCAGGATACAGTTCCTCCATCAGGACAGCCTCTTTTCAGCTGTGCTCACAGGCACACCTCTCTCTGGTCCTTGGCCTCTGACCTGCTCAAGCAAATGTTACAAAGCTCTTTTAGCTCTGCTGATAAGTGCCCTGAGGCACCCTACTCCACCAGTAAGCCTCAGCCCTAAGGCTTTCAGCTTTAGCTCCACCAAGTGCCCAGAGGCACTCTACTCTGCTAGCAAGCCTCCTGCCCAAAGACACTCAGATTGCTCATTCTGTGGGCCAGGAAGCCCACCACACAGACTCCTGCTAGTCTCTCCTGCCACTGTTCCTCTGCCACCACTTCTCACCATCTTCAGTGTTACACCTCTCTCTCTGTCTCGCAGCCTCCTGCTTCCAGGAGCTTCTCAGTGAAAGAATCCCAAGTCCAAAGAACACACTCTGCTCTTGGCTCTTCTTCCTTGGTGGTGGTGGGATCCTCCTTCTGCTCTGGAATTGGCTTTTTTAAACCTAGCATGACAGCAAAACTGACCAATCCCCATGTTAGGGTTCAATATACCTTATTAGCATGGTCCCACCTAATCATTTGGTGGGAGTTATAATACCATGGTGAAAAAGACCAAGCAAAAATGATCCATCGCACTGCAGACGCTCTCTGACTAAATAGCCTGGCTACTCTGGGAGCCACAGCTGAGCTATACTGACTGAAAGTAGGAGACATAAGGGTATTTGCCATAGAAATGAAGACTATCTTTTCCAAATACAAACTAGAAGACTTGGTATGGCAAATACGTTTACTCATTGAGAGTATAGGACACAACATTTTCTGTTCTGCGACAGTGCATATCTCTCTTATCCAAATTAGTTTTTTCACAATTAGTAAATACAGGATGATGTCAATAAATGTGGAAATTCAACTGATTCTCTGTGAGTTTTCCAAACACATTAGTAATTTGTGACAAACCAAAAAACTATCCGGGACACATTTCTCATTATTAACAAAAAAAAAGATCTCAGCTTTACTTTAGTGTAAATGGTGTTTGCTTCAGTGGTTTCAAGAATTTCTAATCTTTTCAAGACTAAGCTACTTGATGAAGTTGATGAAGTGCAGATAAAAAGACTGTGAGATATTCCCCCTCTACTGTTAAAATATTGATTTATGTAGAACAATAATCTGCTAAATTTTGATGAAACTAGTCTTACTGGAAATTAAAGTCTTCGTGGACCTATATGTCTATAGGGTGAAACACAAGTCCCAATGTTTAAAGCTGCAAAGAGTTTACTGACTATGACATAAGAGATAAATACAGTGAAAACTAAACTATGCAAGTATTTTTAATAGAATTTCTTTTTTTTTTTTCTGGTTACAAAGTTGTATTTATTTTGAGTGCTTTTTCTCTAGTCCAGTTTACCACATAATTGCGTGCTTTGGTAAAGCAAGACTTTCAGGAACACACATATTGAGTTAAAACAGAAATTTCTGTACTTGGGTATTGAGCTAAATTTTCTGATTTTATTTTGTTTACATAAGCATGTATATGTGTGTACACACACCCACGCACATTTATGTTTTTTTTACCTGTTGCTTCTTGACATTGACACAGTGTCTGCAACAAGAGACTCAAACATAGCAATCGTTTTGAGAATGGCATAGGACTGGGCAGGGTTTTGTTCCGTTGAACATAGGACTGCTATGAGTTGGAGCTGACTCGATGGCACCTAACAAAAACTACACTTGACATTAATATACACTTGACAGATTTTGTGATTCAGGAAGCATGAGGTGATATCATTTACTGATAACAAAAATTTCTCATGACTTTTCACTGGATTTCATGACTAGTAACATAGGAACAAAAGTGTAATGACTCAGAGTAAAAGTTTTACCTTCCTATTAGAGTCAAAACTGTGTGATTATTTTTCACCTTGATTCTCCCTGGAGAAAAGAAGACATATAGAAGACCAAAAAGTGCCTAACTGTAATCCCACATATTCGGCACAGTTCATAATACACTGTATTCCCCAAAAGCTTTACATTTTCCATCAAAAAAGAATTTACTGAACATGATTCAGTTTTACTCATGTTTATTTCTAGACATAATCATAGTCCAGTAAGTCATAATGAAACAAAATAGAAGTTCAGGGCAGTCTAGAATCCCTCCTTATGCCGGAAGCACGTGACAAGTCACAGGCAAACTGTCATATCTCAGAGCTTTGTTTCCTGTATGGAGGCAGAAGCATCACACAGCCTAGTACATGTCCGTACTCTCTTAAGCACAGGATGTAGCATTAAGGTCTGGATTTGAGAAAGAACACAGGGCATTTCAGGTAGAGGAAGAGCTACTAGCATGCTGCTCCGCAGCCTGCTGAGGGCAGTTATAGCCTCCATCTGCCTTGGTAAGGATGCCACAAACACAGGACTTAGGCACCTTTCAGCTCCCACGTTTGTGGGAGAGACAGGTGGTTATTGTCTAATAGGATTTAGGAGAGTGGGGCAATGGACAGGGGAAGCAGAGCCCTGCATCCTAATTCAGTTTATCCCTGACACCCTCATGGTCACAAATAAGGGATCACTGTACTTCTTTTCCCTTTCCTATAGGATCCACCATGGTCCAGGAGGTAACTCAAGATCAGCCAGCAACATCTGTGGTGGAGAAGGAGGCTGTGACCTTGGACTGTGTGTATAAAACCCAAGATACTAGTTATGCTTTATTCTGGTACAAACAACCACCAAGTGGGGAAATGGTTTTCCTTATTCATCAGGAGTCTTACAAGGAGCAGAATACAAGACAGGGTCGGTATTCTCTGAACTTCCAGAAAGAAGCCAAATCCATCAGCCTTACCATCACAGCTTCGCAGCCTGGGGACTCAGCAGTGTATTTCTGTGCTCTGAGAGATACCACAGTGAGATAGGTGCCTGCAGGAGCCCCACAGAAACCTCAACATGAGGCAGGGCTCCTGGGGTGAGACTGTCATAGACAGGAAGAGGCAGGGGCTGCGTGAGCACAGGTGGGGGAGCCTCAGTTCAATCATATTACGTGTTTAAACATATCACTCCTTAAAAGCATACTATCTTCTATTCATTAGAATAGTTTGAAACAGCACAGGTAGAGCAAGAAAGACATAAAAAGGACAACAACAAAATGTATTAAACTTGTGTTGGGTTTATTGAGGTGGGAAATGATCTAATTGTCTTTAAACCAATTGAGTGATTCCACTGACGAGTTGTTAAAATTTCAGAATCATTCATTCGTTTATGTATTCATTATCATGCTGTATGCTTTAATCAACTTGTGACATAAAATTGCCTTCCATTGATTTCTTCCCAAAGAGTATCATTAATCAGTGAGGTAGAATATATAATTTAATTCGGATTTATTTCCATAATAACTTCTTGTACAGAAGACTAGATTTGAAATATTCATCAAATTACCCCACCCCCATCCCCTCGGCTCCTCTCTCTTTGTGACATGATTATGATTTTTTTTTTTAGAAGTATCTAAATATATTGCTGTCATTTAGAAGCAGCCACAGAAGGAGATGTGAGGTGGGGAGAATTTGTACTAACCTATCAAGTCTCTTGCCTTCATTCACCCTTTTCCTTCTGAGCTCTGGCCAGTATGAAGCTGAAAAGAAGCCACGGCCAGAATGATAGTCACCATGGCCATCAACACCTATCTGGTCCTGTCCAGTGAATATATTGTTTCTCAGATGTTACAATAGTTGCTCAGGTACAAGGATGTGCTTTGTTTGTGCCACATAAGTTCTTACAAATCTCTGAGTTAGTTTTCAACATTTAAATATGAGGCATCACATTTATAATAAGGTATCTATAAAAATTGGAAGATCTAGCAAAACTATACCTTCTGGGGTTTATCTCAAAAGTTCTGCTATGAGTATGTAATGACTGATGCATTCTCATTTTATTTTTTAAATTTATGTGAGTTTACCATTCATTCCACAATATGAATTAACCTAAAAGTAAAAATTTAAAATGATTAATTCTAATGCATAAACTAATCTGCACAAAAACCAAATCAGAATTGACATGTCATGAAACTATACCTGTTTTTTTCCCCCATAATTTCATATATCACAGCTATTGTATATCAGTTTGAGAAACTCAAGTATAACTTATTTGTTAAACATCACAGAAACATTAATTATCAGGGCAGACATGATCTCTACATTTATGGAGATCATATTCTAGTGGGTTATAATGAAGTCTAGTATAGGCAGTCCCTGGGTTATGAACATCCAGCTTACAGACATCTCATACTTAAAGGACTGTCATAAAGACTATTATATTAAAAATTTGAGTTAAATACAATGGTTCAGAATAATGAACCCACGCACTACTTTGTGATGCTCATGAAAACATTGCTTAGTTTCCAATCTTTGGACAACCTTGCAGAATCCCCACTCAACTTGGTAGAAGCCTTGGGTTTCCAACATCACTTTCCTTCTCTCTCCTACACAATTCCTTATCACCATGGGGCACTGAGACCCAGAGCCAATTGACACATCATTGAGTTTGTACATTTAAAAAACAAAAAACAAAAAAAAAAAACACCTGGTCAACCACACTCATTTTCACTAGGGTGTTGTCATCTATGGGTATTTGCATTTGCAAACCAGATCTAGATAGAACTCTCTGATATTGAATGAACCTCACCCAGCTACAACGTTCTTAGTCCCTCTAGGGCCAGATGAATTGTCTTCATTTTACCAAGCACATTTGGCATCCCTAAACAAAAAAAAAGAAACCCATTGCCATCAAGTCGATTCCGACTCCCAGCGACCCTGTAGGACATAGTACAACTGTCCCATAGGGTTTCCAAGGAGCAGCTGGTGGATTTGAACTGCTGACCTCTTGGTTAGCAGCCGACAGCTTAACCACTGGTGCCACCAGAGCTCCAAACCAAACCCATTGCCATGGAGTTGATTTTGACTCATAGCAACCAAAATGAGTTGGCATCCCTATGACTAGAAAATCTGGCTCCAAACCTGCTTTAGAAGTTCACAGGAGGGGCTGTGTCCTCTGCATATCCAGCCAGCTAGTCAAGGCTCAACATGATCTCACGCTTGTCAAATGGCCATCTTTTACAGTTCCTGATTCTCCCAAATCGAGGAAAGGAAATGTGCCTTGTGAAAGAAACCATACATAAAATCCAAATAAAAACTATTTTACCTGAGTAAAATAAGTTATTACCTCCTTTCTCTCTCTCTCTGTCTTCCATAGCTACAGAGTAGTGACTCCTATGTGTTGAAAGTAGCTGATTTTCTGTTACTCTTCTCACTGCCTGCTCCCTTTGGCTTCTTGTCATCACTGTTACATTATCATGCAGTGTGTGGAACACAAGGGTAATTTCTATGACAGCTAATAGAGATTTACCAAATTAAGAGAGTAAGCCAATAAGTGTTAGGAACTCAAAAAAGACTGTAAACCAAGTGCTCTTGTGAGGCTTGTACAATTTTGGAAAGGACTGTTCAACTGTTTAACAGCAACTGCCCAACTAAATCTCTTTGTTTTACGCAGGAGGAAACAGAGGTTCAGAGAAGTTAAGCAACTTGTTTAAAGTCAGTAGTTTGTGGAATAAACTCTAAAACATCAGTTTATTGTTCTTTCTGCCTGTTATTCTATACAGGCAGTCCCTAGGTTATAAACAAGATCCATTCCTAAGTCTGTCTTTAAGTCGAATTTGTAGGTAAGTCTGAATAGGTACAAACAGTTCTTATTTAGTGTCAATTAGTCAAATGTTTGTCTTAGTGTATAGTATTTATTTTACCTTTCTATGCATATAAAATACCTAAGAAACACTTCTGAGCTTTGTTCCTTTACCCCTGAGTCCCATCCAACTCAGAATACAGGCTTATTAAATATGGACAGGCCAGTGCACAAAGAGCCATAATACAGGGCACCTCTGGGTGGGGAGCTGGGGAAGTCAAGCCCTCACAGTTATCAGGACAGCTGAGACCCATCCAGCCCCTGAGAATAAGGAGATTGCTGATGGCCAACATCAGGTTTTAGCCCCTGCTACTTTCTTACAATCCTCTCCCTCTTCGTGTGTTCTCTGAAATTAGTCACTGTTATGGATTGAATTGTGTCTCCAAAAAATGTGTATCAACTTGGCTAGTCCATGATTCCCAGTATTGTGTGATTGTCCACAATTTTGTTATCGATGTGATTTTGCTGTGTGTTGTGAATCTTACCTCTATGACGTTAATGAGGTGTGATAAGCGGCAGTTATGTTAATGAGATAGGACTCAATCTACAAGATTAGGTTGTGTTGTAGTCAATCTCTTTGGAGATATAAAAGAGAGAAGTGAGCCGAGAGACATGGGGACCTCCTACCACCAAGAAAGCAGTGCGGGGAACAGAGTGCGTCTTTTGGACCCGAGTTTCCTGCACTGAAAAGCTCCTAGACCAGGGGAAAATAGTTGACAAGGACCTTCCTCTAGAGCCAACAGAGAAGAGAAAGCCTTCTTCTGGAGTTGACACCCTGAATCTGGACTCGTAGCCTACTAGACTGTGAGAGAATAAACTTCTAGTTGTTGAAGCCATCCAATTGACTTATTTCAGTTATAGCAGCTCTAGATGACTAAGACAGTCACCCTGAGTTGGAATCAACTCGGAGGTGGTGGGTTTAGTTTTTTTTTATACCCCACGTCACAGAGCATCTGATCCTGCACACAATATGCCTGGGCCAGAGTCTGACTCAATTCAAAAAAAGCAAACTAACAGAAAGAACTGCATGCCAAAGAAACTCTGCATACAGACCTGTCATAACCCTAGGGGTTGTCTCTTTGCAGTCTCAGATCTAGAGGGGGAGGCCTTTTGAATACAGGATCAGAAAGTCAAAACAATGACTCTCTCAATGGGCCATCCTGACCCACTGTCAAAAGTATTTTTTTAAAAGAAAAAATAAAGTTAGGTATTAGGTACATCTTATGTGCAATACAAAGAAGCTCTGAAGCTAGTCCCTTGTCCCACTTCACTTAACACTGCTGAGTACACACAGCAGTTGCCTGTCTGGCTGGCCCCTGTGTAGCCCGTCGCCACCTGCACTACTGTGCTGGACATCACCCTATCTACTTGCAGCCAAAGAGAGGCAGATTCTACAGCATGGGACCCCCCAAAATGGTACCTTTAAAACTCTCCCAACTGATTTCATAACTAAAGTTTTCTTTTGAAAGACAAAAATTGTCCCTTCAATGTCAGATGTCCTTGGGAGTGACCAGGACAATGCTAAATGCGCACTCTCCCCTGAAGTAGGTTGGATTTTCCAGGTGTCATACCACCTTCAAAATAATGAGGGAAAAAAATAGTGCTCTAGGCAAAAGCATCATGCTGTCCCTCCACAGCAAAGATCCCAAAAACTAAGCTGAACAGGGAAAACAGCAATCCTGAAACCCTAAAACATCAAACGAAGAGATAAAGACTCAGCCAAGCAAGAAATGAACTGAGAAAACTGACAGAGAATGGAGAGTGAGGAGAGATTCATGCAGAAGTCCCCTATCAGCTAATGCAGCGTGGATCCGCCATCGTGGACTCTTGTCGGAGACCAGCAAATAGGGGGTACGAGAAAGCAGTTTCATGGAGCTTCCAGCAGGAGACAAAACAACCAGTAATTTGCGATATATGCTTTCCCACCCCCGACCCTTCTTCACCCCCACTGGGCCTCCTCTGCTTCCCGTGGTCACAGTCTCTTCTCCGGGAAGCACTGGCTGCTTGGATTCCACCTGCCAGAACTGTCTGGCTCTCTGAGTGCCATTTGTTGGCTGCTGGTGTTGCTTTTTACTGCTTCTTTTGATTTCTTCCTTATCTCTCACCACCTCCCCCTCTTTTTGCTCAAATATCTGGCTCTGTGCGCCAGCTTTGCTTCTTCCTGCAGGGCTGCGGAGCTCCTTTAGAGTGTGGAACTGCTTCCCTGTCTGGGCTGCCACGTAGATGGGATCCCGAGGCTTTTGTTTGTTTGTTTTGAATTGTTTCTTTGCTTTCTTTTCCTGTTTTTGAGTTGGGAGCCCGTTCTGGCCGGGTGGTGCTGTGCAGCTTGGAACCTACCCCCTTGGCTTGCGCAGACACACAGAGGGATCACTGAG